AGTCGAGCAACCCCAATCTCTTCCTCAGACTCGGACATCCCACTGGCAAAGATTACTCATGGAAATCGACCAACCCCACTCCCAATCCTTAATCGGAAACGGCCTAATCTAGCAAAATTGGCCACTGGAGGTAGGCATTTACACTGGAGAAACGTACTTTAATCCATTTAAAGAGGGGATTGTTGATTCCTCGGAAGTCACGGTCACTTTGGAAACTGGACATATTTTCGCCGGAAAGAGGAAATCATAGCCTCGCGAAAAGTCAACCCTCAGAAATCGACGACCAGTGGGAAATTGACTGGCGGAAACCCGACACTTACACAAACGACCACAAATTCGTCGACAGAAGTTACTGTCATTCCGGGTTCCCCTCAGAAAACGTCTCAAGACAGATGTCTCCCTGGACCATCATCGTTCGGATCCGCTCTAGAGCCAATTGTGTTGGACATCACGCCAGAGGAAACGCTTCCTGTTACCACCCAGCCCAGATCTACAATCGGATCATCTGCTTTCATATGCTGGTCTCCTTCTGATTTCCTCATTCTTCTCGCGGAATCGGGGTTCGTTCAGACATCGCGGAAGTCTCCCACCGGGAAATCATCCATCATGGTCGCAGAGCAAGATTACGGGAGCGAAATATCGTCGAAGATAGAGCAGGACTTACAACAAGCTTTAGAAGAACTTGACGCCGAACCTATTTAAAACTCATTAAACTCATGAAAACTCTACTTTCCAATTTCTTTTTTTTTTACAGTTTTGTAGAGTTTGTAGAATTAGTTTTAGCTAATTGTAACACTTTAAACTTATCCCGTTGGGGAATGTTGTTAGTTGTTCAATTTGTTTAACTGATTGGCCTTTAGCACTAATTAGACACCTGCTAAGTATGTTCCATATTGATCATCAGTCGATTGTTCCTTTTTAATGTTGCTTTAGATAAGACAGTCGTAATTCATTCTTAATCATGTTCTTCTCTCCATTTCTTAGTTAGTCTACATAATTGTACATATTTAGCACGGTTTATCATTGAAATAGTTCATTAGTCAGTTTGAACATAAATTAGAACAGATAAAAAAATTGATTCGAAAATTGATAGGAGCACGTCTCATTTGAAGCGTCGATCAATCGTCTTGTACCATTTTTGGGATTCAATGAGTCTGGATCAACAGGTAATTAAATTGATTTAGAAACTGATACTGGCACTCTTCATTTGAAGCGCCGATCAATCGCCTTGTACCATTTTCGGGCGACAATGAGTCTAAAAGATCTCACGTAATCTTTGTTTATAAAACATTGTTTTACAGCGCGACAGATTGTTGTTTTTGTTCCGCTGTTAGCGGAGTCCGCAGATTGTAGGAGAGTTGTCCAGCAATAACCAGCTTGAAAAATCGCTAGCTAGACGAACGAATGCGGCAATTACAAACAATTACTTAACCAATGTCTGTGGATTCCAAGAACAAATCTTAAATCATTATTTAACTAAAATCGTAGAAAATACCCTTTAGAAGTACCACTACCACTTCGAATTTGAATTTAGTTCGATCAATCACTTTTTAATGTTGCTTTAGATTAGACATTCGTGATTCAATTATAATCATGTTTTTCTCTTAAATGCTTGGTCAGTGTACCTAATTGTACATATTCAGGGTTTTTTGATAGAATAGTTTATTACTAAATTTGAACAAAAATTCGAACAGGTTAAAAATATAAAATCAAGAACACAAACGCAAATTATTGTAAATTCTAAAATGCTTCGAATTTCGATAAAACGTTCCCCGGATCGAAACGAGTTAAAAATTTAGTAGAAAACCCAAAATCCGTTAAACTGCCGTCTTCAAGCAACGCTCCGGCAACCTTGTCCCCATAGTCAAACTGCAGTTGCTCGAAAGGTACAATGTCTCTCCTGGCTTTTAGGATGTATTTTGTTTCACCTATGTTGGAAATTACAACTTCTACCATTTTTATAATGGCCTTGTTTTTCTTCTGGTTGGTGTGGATATCTAAACGACAGGCAAACTTTCCATTTTTGTAACGGCCCTCCTCATTTGAAGCGTCGATAAATTGCCTAGAAGGACCCGCATTTTGCAATACGTATTCACTTAGAACACCTGGTTGGGGGCAGTACTGGTCGGCATTGATATTGGTGACTACTTTGCCGTGGTAACCCACAAACACGTCATCTTTCTTGAACGGTTCGCAAGGCAATCAAACCTAGTTAAAAAGACAAATTTACTGATTCAAAAATGAAATTTTTTGTAAGATATATTTATCGAGTCATTACAATTATAAATTACCTCTTCCATAGACGGGAAATATCACATCACATATAACGACCCAGCTCTGGGTCAATGCACGACTCTGCAACACTTCCTGAACCACAAATGAAAGGTCTCAATGTCGTTGGCGGTATGTTTCAGGCTTGAGGTTTTCTCAAGCGGCGGAAAGTTTTTCTTTGATCGATCATTAAGCAGCTTCGCCACATGGTCAAGTTTTTTTAAAATCAAATCAGTGTTTTAGATTTGAAAAGTTAACTACAAGGTGCTAGTTCTCGCTCAGCTCTACGGTATTGTCATCGTTTTTTTCTTCTATTTTGACAAACGCCTCAACGATAGCATGTACCGTGGTGTTGATGATCATTTTCTCGAGCACCCCTGTGCACGTGAACAGAAACGTCACAATGGCCTTGAACAAGTTCAATTGATCTTTGTGGGTCAGGGTTCCGTTTCTTTTATCGAAGCAGTCATTCGAAATCTCGACATTCTGTAAAATGACTTCTTTGAGAGTCTTGTTCATTATCGGGTATCCGGCTCGGGAGTTTTTTCCGGGTTGCTAAAAATGAATATGATTAAGCTTCATTATTTGGTTAACCAAAATCTTTTAGGCTTGTGTAATGTGTTTACATTTGAAGTTAATCTTCAACTTCCAGTTTCGTCTACCTTATCTGGCTCTGTACGATCCCTTGCGTCTTTCTAAGGGCTCGTTGCTCCTGTGGTCATGTGATTCCCTGGAGTAGGTTTCCTTCCACTGTAGGTTTGCTTCTCTTGGTCATGCGGTTGTCTTTCAACTTCTCGATAGTGGGGAAAAGCCGATGGCAATGGAGAATTTGGCTACGGTGATGCCGACATGTAGGAATCCAGGTAGGCTGGATATGGCTGATACTGCTGAGGCTGGCACTGATGTACCATCGAAGGGCCTGAATGAACATGTCTCAGAGGAGTATGTGGTTGCCTATATATCGGCGGAATTGGCGAGGCGAAAGGTTGCGGGGGTGCTCGCAAAGGGGTTACCGGTGTCGGAGGAGCAAATGATGTCTTCTCTGGTGCTGCGATTGGTGACCGAGGCACAGGGATGTTAGAAAGCACTGCGAATGGTGATGGAGAACTGGAAGGCAGACACTGAACATGAGCTTTTGGCGTTGGACACTTAACTTAAGTCCGTAAGTTTTTACTAGATTAGGATGAAAAATGAGAGATGCAACTAACATTGAGCTTAAGATGTTGATGAATTGATTCCAATTTAGCGGCAAAACTCCCATAACTTATCAGTACCAATTAGCTTTGAAACTTTTCTCTCTTATTAGCACACCATGCGACTGTTTTATCTATGCAATAATGACTACCTAAATATAGGACGGCTAATTCATAATGAAAGCGTCTTACTGATAAGTGAAACTAGACAGTGCAGTTCTTACCAGTGAAGCCGTCATTACAAGTGCCGCATTAGTCCTGCATCAGGAAAACTGTCATTAGTCAATTCTTAAATCAAGTTTTTCCTTAGGTGAAGGAAAAACTTTTTAGGTGAAGGAAAAAGTAAAAGTCCTCGATGTCGTCACCTCCATCTGGGGAAGTTCTGTAATTTTATCATTAATCAGCGATTGGTGAGTAAAGATGAAATGGTCTGATTGGCCGGGAAAAGCCATCTTTAGTGTCCCAGAAGACTGAAAAATAAAAACAGCAGCATGGAATACAAGAAAAATCCACGAACACAATGATGCATGTGTCATCAGTGGAAGATGGAATTCGAGAAAAGAGAAACTATCGTTCAACCCCAGACGGCTGCACAGGGACTCAATAGTCTTTTTGAACATGCTGGGAGTGTCAAAAAAGGGATTGTGATCATCAATTGTTTTTTACAAAGTTCTGAGAATTCAAAAATTGTCAATTTGCTTTCGACTAATTTATGCGCGCTTTGATGATTTTTTTTTCAGCCTGATCAAAGCGTAACGCGAATTATCACGCTCAACAAAACCGTTTCAAATTGAATTGAGGCTAGCTAATCGGTCGTTTTATCTCCGTACGACTCGAATTTTTCACATCTGATGATTGTTATTGTCCAAAAACGTGCTGCTACCCTTTCGCTCCGACCATTTGAAAAATTCAGAAGAAATTTGAATTTGGGTTGTTTTCATTTTTTTGTTTTCCACGCAATATCATGCAAAAAAAATTTATCGGAATGCGTCGAGTCGTATATCATCATAAACCCTTTTTAATCTTAATTCGAAGGGCATCTAAAAATTTCAAAGTTTTTTTTACAGTGTCGTGAAAAATCGGTTCGAAGTTTTTTTTTTATTTTCAATTTAATTTCGAACGAATCCGGTGTGAGCGTGTAGGTTTACTATAGCTTATTTTAGCCTACTTTAAACCGTGAAAACTTAGTTTAATTGTTGTAGAAGTAGTTTTTGGAGTTTTTTTGCGCCAGTTTTATTTACAAGTTTTTTAAATGTTCTTCTAGTCAGAATTCTGAAAAAACTGTTTTCCGAATGTTTTTTTTTCCACTATGACTGTCAAATACGCTTTTTTTTTAAAGTTCTTTGTTTGTGCAGATCTTTTTATCATGCCACGAAGAAAAAAACGACACTAACTAAAAAAGAAAGTATTTTTTTTTGCTAAGATTGTGGTCGGAACATTCAGTGATAGTTGCACAGTAACCGGCTATCCTTGTTTGCGTTTTTTGTTAGTTTTGAAGAAATCATTTGTTAAAAATTGTTTTTGTATCAATTTTAGGACCAGGAACAACTGAGGCGGTGGTTACAAAAGGTGGCTGCAATTAATCAAGCCTGGATCATTACTGGGGGCACTAACACGGGTATTATGAAGATATGCGGAGAAGCTGTGAGAGATCAGAACTTCAGTAGTGCACCAGGCACCAAGTGAGAATTCTTTACGGCGTCTGCCCCCACTTGTTTTGTCTATTGTACAAAAAAGTGTGATTAAAATTGTAATCCTGTTTGCCTAAAACTTTTTTGCTTAGGGGCGGGCTTGATTGATAGGTTCCTATTTCCATTGATGTTTTTTGATGACGAGTGGATTATTTCTTTAGCTTAAAACGGAATTTTTCAGCTTCAAAACTAGCAAGGTTCCAGCTGCCCGGGCTGACCTCTATAGACCAAAAATGCTATTTATACAATTCCCTAAGAGAAAACACTAATCATACAAATTTCATACATTTTGCTAAAATGGTGTCATCGAGTTTTCGAAGAACCTTTTTCTTGTTATGGCATAAAATTAGTTGTATCGTACTAAATGAAAAAGAAAAACTTTTGTCAAAATTAAGCTACAATTTCTGTATATGGGAATTGTATGACTAGCAGTATATTTGAAATTGCCCCCAAAATTTTTTTTGTGTTTTTTCGTCAGCTGCAAATTGATCTTTGTGCATGCAAAATTGAATTTTCGTGTGTATAACGTAGTCCTGGATACGCTAATATTGGATAATTTTCTTTTTCGCCTTATATATTTTTTCAAAAATGCTGAAAACTCCTCTTTCTTTTCTATGGCATGTATATGTTTGCCTTGATCAATGTCTGGTAGTTTAAAAACTCAAAAAGCAACCAAAACTTTTTGAGAAATTAAAACCTATAAAATCATTATTTTGTTCTATGAAAAAATGCTAGCCATAGACAATTCATGCAATTTTCTGTACTTATGGAATTGCAAGAAAAGTGTGTGATTAGCATCTTTCCATATATGAAAATATAGCTTTTTTGGTCAACCCGAATGGTCTGAACATTAGAAACCGTTAGCAGCGCTGATGTATATTGATCATTTAAACTTTCTTTATCAGATACAATAAACTACTTTTTTTTCGCGAGGACTGGTTCTATAAAACATTAATGACTATTGAAAGTGTCAAAATTGAAGAAAAAAAAGAATTAAACTTTTAAGACTGACTGAAAACTTAAATGTTTAGAATGAGTTTAATATTTCTCATTACTGAAAAATTATAACTATCTGAAGGTTGATCTTCATTCTTTGGTCAAAAAAACGTGTCTGTAATGGTTGTTTTCAATTGATTGCATTTTTTGGAAATAAAGTGCATGCAATCTAATGACTACGCGTCTAAAAGCTGATTGAACTTCATTAAAGTCATGCTGAACTAGTTTGTTTCATTTTAGTAAACAGGCGGTCGCGATTGGTATAGCAACTTGGGGTGCAATTGCAGGCTCTGCAGATTATTTGACCCCGCCCGCAAGCCACGAAGATGACATTTACTACAAAGCGGTCTACAAAAAACCAGACAAGGTACAGTTGGAAGCAGATTTGTGGGGGAAAATTTGCGCTTAACAACGTTTTGAATATATAATTGTTTGTTTAACTTCAATCCAAAACATCAAAATATAAACAATGAAACTTCTCTACAAACCTGAATCTTTTTATTCATTGTTCCGACTTTCGATACGAAAGTGACGGAATATTTGTGCTCGGGTGGTTTCATTTCCTCCAGACAAATTTCGAAGTTTAAGCTAGCCATTTTTGACGGATTTTTTTATCATTCGAAAGGTGTTGTTCTCTTGAGCTCAAATTTGAAAAGATATTTTACCTGCGTTTTTTTTCGAAAATTTATGGGGTTTAGAGATTGCCATTTTGACCAATTTGGGACAATTACCGCGCGATATATTTTGCGCTATTTACGCGTAAGCGGAGAATTAATCCGTCTCAGAAATCCTTCCAAAGTAGTTGGAAGAAGCTTAATTGCCATAATTCATTAGTTACAAGGAGCGTAATCTATCCTTTTGTTTTTTATATGGCATGTGGGGGGATGAATTTCATAAAAAATTTCAAATTTTGGAAAAAAAAATTCATTTTGTTTTATTTCATTTAATTTTTAAATGTTATTACTGCTTCTTAAACCTTAAAAGGCAGTCGGAACATACAAGGCTTCGCACTGATACGAGCAGTCTTGTTGACCTTTATTCATTCATTTACACTATTCATGTATGTACTTGATTGGTTGTACTCAATAAAATCAAGACAATCTGGAAAAAAAATGGGAACACGGGCTGTACGGATTATAAACAAAAAAGTCACACGCGTGAGCGAAAAACACAAAGCTCCAACTGATATAATCAGGACATATCAACACATTATCCTTATAAATAGACTAAAAAAACAGATATAGAGCTTTTAGATACATACGGTTTCTGTCTTCTAACTTGCGCTACAATCATTGCACCGGCTTGCTTCTCCTGCCTGGATTGCCCGAATGTAAGTTTTTTGTAGATGAACTTAAAATTTAAAAAAAGGAAAATAAAAAGTTTTAACACGGTTTTTCATAATGTGTTAAAACTTCATGAGAAAAACACCTGTACGCAGACATACAAGTTTTAAAAAGCACTTAAGAGTGAATAGACTCTAATGCATATTAGAGTATAGACTCTGCTAGAGTTTTTTTTCAGTAATTTGGCCTTGATACTTTGTCAGGAAAATCTCATCATACTCAATCACTGATGAAACGTTTTTTTTTCTGTTCTGAAATTCGATAATATTGTATGCTTGTCCCGTCCAAAATCAGTTTTTTTTCAACTGCAAAAACGAGTTAAAAATGAATTGTCTTCCTCTCTCTCAATCAAGCACAGCGCACTCTAATTTTTGCATTTAGAGTTTAATCATAAGATGAACAACCCTAGTGAATACTCTCAAATTAATTGTGGACTTAATTGACTCAAAATGACCATGTTTTGACCAACTCGATCCAAAATGGCCATCTTTTGATCAACGAAATGACCCAAGGCAAACTGAACTCGACTGACTTTGTCAGAATGATGGTATAATCCATCCAATTCATTACGCATTACCGGCTATATTTCAGGTGAACCTACTGCAGAAAAAAATTGGCTGTGTTTGACTCTTGTAGGCTAATTTTTGACCGACTCGGTCAAAAAAAGCCAAGTCTTCACCGATTAGATTCAAAGTAGCCAAGTTTTGACCGAAACTGTGTAGACTGTGTTTGTCAGAGCGAAGGTTTAAAATGACAACTCACGCTATGTTTCGACTGACACGACTGCATGGAACTCCGAATAACTATTTTTGCCTCAACCTGCTAAGTTTTGACCCACCTAAAAAAAGGTCGATAATTCGAAGCCGAAAAGATTCGTGCTGGCTGCCTGTCGTTGACACAAATGTGCTACTTTTCAAACAATTTGACCCAAAATTGTTATGTTTTGACTGACTCGACCGACGAAAATTTCGAGACTGTACAAATATACTCAACCAACGACTTGACCGAAATAATTTGTGTGAGACTGTCTTTGACTGAATCGCGTATTGGTCGATTCCACGCAGGTATCGATCGATTCGACACAAAGCGATAATATATTTCGGTTGACTCGATTGAAAAGAACTAAGTTCGATTGTGTTCGCTTCAAGCATGCTTTGTTTCAATTGTCTGGACCAAAAACGTGAGAACTTTGACCAGCTTAGAACAAACTGTCTATTTTTCACCGACTTGACTGAAGGAAATATGTGCTCGACTGTATTTGATTCAAGCCTGCTAAGTTTCAACCAAGTCGATTCAAAATTGCCAGGTTTTGATCGATTTTAACAGAAAAACATGATCGATCGCGTTCGTCACATTTGTCTTTCGTTTCGACCAGTTTGACCCAACTTGCTACGCGAAGATTCACTCGACCAAAGAAAAAACGTGTTATATTGTGTTGGACTAAATCGTCCCATCGTTTGACCAATTTGTTCCAAAATGCCATATTTTGAGCTACTCTACCAGAAAAATGTGTTCATCTGTGTTCGACACAGCAATCGACGTTTCAATCGGTTTGACTACCCGCATCCAAGTTTAGGCGTAAGTAATCAATTATAACGGGTTATTATGATGATTTTTTGACAATTATAATGGATTATAATTACCAAAATTAGGTCTTTAAGGGATTTATAATTGAATATAGTCGTGATATTTTCCAAGAGATTATAATCTCTTATAATCGATTCTTATTGATTGTAGTTCTTACTAAAAACCCTTAAAATCAATTATAATCGATTTTATTCTTATTTATGTTGCCGAAATTTTCCTATATTCGAATTATATCTTATGGGTTATTATTTTTGTGTCAATAAGAAAATCTCTAAAAGAGAGATCTCATGAACACTTTGGTTCATCTGAACACAAAGTTATACCACGGAACAAAAGTTTCATAGAGATACTTTCATATGAGTGGAAAGGTTCTCGCGGTAGATGAAAAATAAATTTTCCGAATCAATCATTTGAATTAAATAGAAAACTTTAAAAATAATTTTCTCATTTTTCATAGGAACCATTGTCCACAAAAAGCAAAAAATATAAGCAATTTAGATGCAACTTTGAAAACAAAAATGGAAAACAAAAGGGATTATAATCAATTATATTTGATTATGATGGATTTTGTGCAAAACTAATGAAATAGAAATTTGAAAAAAAATTAATGGATTATACTCTTATACAATCGATTAAAATTGTATCGAAAAACAGACAAAAAGATAATCGATTACAATGGATTATAGTAAACTATAATTTGATTTTAAAAAGAGAGGTTATAAACGATCATTAATTCATTAAAATCTTTTGTTTCTGAATTTTGTGGGACTGGTTTTAAAATCGTAAGATAATCGATTATTAATGCTCGAAACTGGATGCGGTTAGATGCTTTCGTAGAAGACCCGTCCGTGTTTGACATAAAGCTGTTATGCTTTGACGAAATCAAACAAAAGCGGCCTTTACACAAAAAAAATGTGTTTGACTCAAATTTGTTGTTTCGACTGACTCAAACAAAAGACAGTTTAACTCGAAGGAAAATGTGCTTGCTCAATTGTGTTTGATCTAAACCTGGTGTTTTTTGACCGCCTTGAACCCGAATAGCTTTGTTTCAATCAAAACTACCCAAAGTTTACAAGTTTCGACCGATTCGAATAAAAAAATTGTATTCGACTTTTGATCGATTCGAATGAAGAAAACATGTTTCTGACGTTTTGACCAACTCGACCAAATTTTGCTATGTTTTTAGTGACTCGACGGTTTTTAGTGACTTTATGGTCAACAACTTCATTCAAAATGGCCATCATTTTACCAACCTGACCCGAAGAATAAGATGATGCTTGTGTTCGTCATAAGCGTCCTAAATTTCGACCAATTCAATCGAAAATATTTCTGTCTGACTACTTCCGAAACAAGCTTGCTTATATACAGACTTCATACAAAATGACCACATTTCGACCAACTCGGCCGTTAGAAATATACATTCGATTTTTCTATTGTCCTTGATTGATTGGTGCCAGGTTTTTATCCAATCCACAAAAATCAGCCATGTTTCGACCGAATCGAACAATAAAAAAAGATGAACTCATCATTATTTGTCAAGCGTGCTATATTTTGACCGACTATATGAAATTGTCCAGGCTACAACGTTAATGATGGAAAGGGTTCAACTGGTAGTCGAGCTGATTGACCCAAAATGGTTAAATTTAATCAATTTTTTAAGGTGTGTAGTATTTTTTCATTTCAAAAAAGCAAACAACCTTGTTGTTTCTGGTAATCAATTACATAATTTCAGCCAACTGTCGTCAAAACCAAATCCATTTGACGTTTCCATGTCAAAACAAAAAAACTTGTGCATTAATGATGATAATGTTTGGACCAGAGAGCGTCTCTCGCCTCAACTTGACTAAGTTTTAAGTTGGATAAATTCGCAGCATTTGCTTTGCGCAAATAACATATTTGGAAAATTGTTGGTCTTTAATTGTCCTGAATGAATCAAAATTATCCCCAACTCAATAACCCATAACTTTGTTAAAAAAATATAAATGTTGGATTTTTTATAATTAAAACGCATGGCATTAAAAGCATTCAGTGGAACCAAAAAAAGTTCCGTCGAAAAAATCTAGTTTAAAAATCGCTGTTCTATGGAAGAAAAAACCGACCAGAGTAAAACGATTTCATGATTTTTTTCGTCGGACGAAACAACGAGAAAACAAGAGGCAAAAACAGGCAGATGAAGTTTGGACAAAAAGTAAAATCAAGATAAATTAAACATTCAGGTTCACCAGATGATCTTATTTGATTTTGCAGTAACAAACATATGCAGACATTTCAATACAAAAATCTATGATCAACTACTTAATCAATCCATTAAACTGAATCTATTTTTAGCTAGACTTTTTGCGTGTCCTGGTCGCGTCAAGAGTTTGCGTCAGGAAAGGCTTGAAACAAAGTCGCCAAAGTCTGGACATAAAGTCGGGAAAATGCATGTCCAGACTTT